ATGATGATGATGATGATGATGATGATGATGATCACGATGATGATGATGATGATGATGATGATGATGATGATGATGATGATGATGATGATGATGATGATGATGATGATGATATTCTATTTGTATCACGATCGCGCTGTGGAATCAGGCGTTCCTCAATTGTTGTACATGTGGAGTTATTGGTATCTGTTGAATTGTGTTGGTTCCGATGAAAAAAAACACCCATCTATCTGGAAGGGTAACTGAGACCTTGGGGAGTGAATGGGGGAAACGGCCGCCAATGTGTTGTGACTTCCAAAGCTTGAGAGTCCTTGGAAACTGAAAGCTTACCCTTTTTTGTGCCTTCAATCAAAGTCTTTCAGTAAAATCCAAGCATAAACGTGTTTTTAAATCGAAATAAACGGTGCTGAGCCCAAAAGAAAAAAAAGGAAAAAAAACCCAATAAATAACACCCACCTCAAACAAAACAAAACGGAACGAAAACAACAACAACAGTAACAACAACAACAACAACAGCAACAACAACAACAACAACAGCAACAACAACAACAACAACAACAACAGCAACAACAAAACCAGGAGAAAAATGCCACCCAGACTGCCAAATTATAATAATATTTCTTTCTTTCCTTTCTTTACTTTGACGAGCGCTTGATTTCTCAACGATGCCACTCTTCCCCATAATATTAAGGACACATTATAATTTCTCCTCCACAGTCTCCAAAGCCGTGGCCGGCTCAAGCAAGGTGCTGCTGGTCTGTGAGGGGCTGGACACAGTGACGTCAGTCGTGGTCAACGGAAAGTCCGTGGGCAGTGCAGACAACATGTTCGTCCGCTACACCTATGACGTCACTGGCATCGTCACGGTCAGTTGAGTTTAGTTTTAGTAATAAGAGTTTTACGGCACTTGCAACACAGTATAAAGTAAAGTTGTTCCCGCATCCGATCGGGACATTGGGGATAACTTTGTTAGTCAGACAACTTCCTGGCTTTTTCGGCATAATATTGTGGTAGGGTTGCCAGTTCCTTTCCACGCCGCGTTTACTTCCCCAACTGGAAGTCAGGTACCCATTTCTGCTGGGTGGGCAGGAGGGGCCGAAACAAATCCGTGTCCGAACCGAGGCTCGAACCCAGACTTCCCGCTTCGGAGACGAGCGCGCAACACATTAGGTCATATTATAAAAAGTGCTTCGATGTGTAACAATAGAGTAACAAACACCAAAAATTTTTTTTTTAGAGCAGCAAAAAGGATCTCCAGCTCTGTCTGTTTTCGGCCATCTTGGTCAGCGTTCCCCACGAATGGTTCCAGGACTTCATTTCAGACTCTACTGTGCGTCTCCAGGTCACTTTGGGCCTGCCCCTCTTGTGATGTCCTTCGGGTGTCCAGTGGAGAGTAGTTTTTACAATAGAGTCTGGTTCTCTTCTCAGAATATGTCAACCACCCACAAATTAGGCCATCGTCATCATTGCCTTTCTCACCCTGCACCGGGGTATAGGCCACAGGCAAACACCTTCCACCTTTCTCTATCTTGGCCTCTTGATGTTATTCCATGTCTTCCCACTTTTCCGTACATAAATTCTTCTCCAGGTTCCATGCTGTCTTCCCCTTGATCTCTTACCCTGTGGGTTTCAATCCAGAACTTTCTTTATTATGCATCTGCCTGACTTCCTGAGAGTATGTCCAATCCATCGCCACTGCCTTCTATCTACCTCATTTGTGACTGGGATCTGTCTTGTTTTCCTTAGCACTTCCACAATGGCGACCCTGGCTGTCCATCTGATCCTCAGTAACTTTCTTAGAATTAGGTACATACATTGTATCTGTATCACGACGTGGTGAAATCCGGCGCTCGTCAATTTTTGGGCATATGGGGTTATTGTTACTATCTTAAAGCCTGTTCATTTTCCTTTGTTTAGGGGGAAAAATTCATCTACACTGAATAGAAGTCGAAATATTTGCGATTGAAGGAGGTTACGATCGCCAGGTTTCAGAGGTAAAATTAGCGAGAAAATGGTCTCCAAAGTTTGGTAACTTCCATAGCTTTAGAGCCTTTGGGAAATGAAAATTTACATTTTTTGAGCCTTTAATCAATGTTTTTCTGCAATATCCACACTCAAATATGTTTTGAAATGGATATAAAAGGTGTTGAGCCCCCCCCCCCCCAAAAAAAAAAGTAAAAAAAAATTTCCAAACTGGCCGAAAACTGATGATTTCTCGGATGTCATTATTTTGACGAGAGCCTGCTTTCAGCACGATGCCTCACATTTTTCTTTCTCCAGGAAGGCGAGAACCGTATAGTTGTGGGTTTCCACTCGGCCGTGCGTGAGGCAGCCACGCGTGCCCAGCGGTCAAGCTACGTGATCCCGCCCAACTGCCCACCCCAGGTACAGAACGGACAGTGCCACGTGAACCAGATGAGAAAGGAGCAGTGTAGCTTTAGCTGGGATTGGGGGCCGTCCTTTCCGACACAGGGGATCTGGTGAGTGGGAGAGAGAGAGAGAGAGAGAGAGAGAGAGAGA